TTCTACAGAATATTCCTTTTGTTGTACATGATAATAACTTTAAATACCATGAACAGGATATGGTTGTTGGTGGAACTGACACAACCTCCAACATGGTTGAGTTTGCCATGGCTGAAATTATGAACAAACCAGAGGTACTGAGGAAATCACAACAGGAACTAGAGACAGTTGTGGGCAAAGATAACATAGTGGAAGAGTCTCATATTCAGCATTTACCATATCTCTATGCAGTTATGAAAGAAGCCTTGCGCATGCATCCAGCTCTCCCACTGTTGGTGCCTCATTGTCCTAGTGAGACAGTCACTGTGGGAGGATACACCGTTCCTAAAGGATCTCGTGTTTTCATAAATGTATGGGCAATACAGAGAGATCCCTCTATATGGGAAAATCCGACTGAGTTCCTTCCAGAGAGATTTTTGGACAGTAATTGGGACTATAGTGGAAATGATTTCAACTATTTTCCATTTGGTTCTGGCAGGAGAATTTGTGCGGGGATAGCCATGGCAGAGAGAATGTTCATGTATTCACTGGCTTCACTCATTCATTCTTTCGACTGGAAGTTGCCTGAAGGAGAGAAATTAGACCTTGAAGAGAAGTTTGGGATTGTTTTTAAGAAGAAACTGCCTCTGGTGGCTATACCTACTCCAAGATTATCCAATCCAACTCTCTATGAGTAAAATAAAAGATGCATCTCTATGTTGGCAATGGTCTTATGAACAACTCAAAGTTCTAATGTTCCATGTGAAACTAGTTCCATGACTCCTTTAGTATTATATACTGAATTGAATTTGAGATATCAATACATGTATATCATTTTATTTGGAGTACGTAAATGATTTCATACCGTTCCTTGTTTAGTTTGTGTTCATATAAAGAAGATATGGTTGGCATCTCCCTGATAGATATGTAAACACCCCTTGAACAAATTGTGAGATATATTGAAAATAAATCTTTATCCAAGTTTACATCAAACACATATTATATTATACAATGCATATGTAGATTTTAATGCGCTAAACCAAATGTCCAATCACAAATACAAATATTATAATAATTATGTTGCTTCATAATGAATCCTTATATTAAGTCGTGTACAAGTTATCTTATCTAACCATGATCATAAACTCTGATATTTATGCAAACTAAAAATGTTGTGTACTCTTTTAAGAGGTTGATTAATATGCTGAATTAGTATTTGAATTAAACTGGAAAAAACTTACTGCTGTTAGTAGCTCTAAAAATAAGGGCAGATTGGATTTTTCCGAGGAGATGTGAGATAAACTCCAGATTAGAGTGATCTGCGCCTCAATCAACTGAAAATAAGCATGGCATGCTTCTTTAGAGAAACTGCATATTCAATGCATACATGACAATTTTTTTTCTTCTTTTTGCCCAAACAATTAAAAAAAAAAGAAAAAAGAAGGAAAGAAGTGGTCCCTATTTAGAAACAAGAAACAATTTGGGACCAATAGTACATTGTTGTTTATTTCCCTTGAAGTAACAGTATGAGTGTGGAGGTATCTATATTCATTTTCATCTTATGGGACTGTCAAACTACTAATTTGTCTTGATCCAAAATATCTGTCTTCAGAATTCACCATTTTCTTTTAAGTGGTGTTAAAGCATTGAGCTTCCAATCACGTTGGTTCAGCCTTTTTTCTACACCACTGCTCTTTCTAATCTCATTTTCCTCTAAGGCTCAAATAATGTCTCTCAAGTTCTTCAAACCTCTATTTGATTATTGGCCGTGGCGTTTGCATGAAGCCAATATTGAGCAAAATGGTATCTTTTTCTCCAATATTCTTGGAATTGTAGCTTTACTATTGTTTGTTTGGATTTTCATCAAGAAGTCAAAGAAGGGACAACCCCCATTGCCACCAGGGGCTAAAGCTTTGCCTTTAGTAGGTAATCTCCTCTCTCTTGATCCTGAACTCCACGCCTATTTTGCATCACTTTCCCAAACTTATGGCCCTATTTGTAGACTCTGGCTTGGTAAAAAAGTTGGGATTATCATTACCTCTCCTGCTTTAGCTCGTGAGGTGCTTAAGGAACAAGATACTATTTTTGCTAACGGAGATGCGCCTGCTGCTGCTAGAGAATTTTCATATGGTGGTAAGGACATAGTTTGAACTTCTTATGGACCAAAATGGCGCATGTTGAGGAAGATTTCTGTTCGTGAAATGCTTAATGGTTCTACTTTAGACTCCGTTTATGCACTAAGGCGACGGGTGTTTAGACAGACAGTTAATTACTTATATAATCAGGCAGGTTCACCAGTGAGTATCGGTGAGCAGATGTTCTTGAATGCTCTTAATGTGATTACGAGCATGTTATGGGGTGACACAGTGAAGGGTGAGGAAAGAGCTAGTCTCGGTGCAGAGTTTAGGCTTCTTGTGACTGGGATGACTGAGCTGATAGGTACTCCGGATGTTTCGGATTTTTACCCGGGCTTGGCTAGGTTTGATTTGCAAGGTGTAACAAAGAAGATGAAGGTGTTGGCAAAGCGGGTTGACAAGATATTTGAGACCATTATTGATCAAAGACGGAAAACGGATAGAGATGGTGGGATGGGAAGTGGTGTTGGCCAAGAAAGGAAGGATTTTTTACAGGTTTTGCTGAAGTTGAAAGATGATGCCGATGCCAAAATACCTCTGACCATGTCTGAACTCAAAGCCTTACTCATGGTATGTTTTGTCATTTGTGCATTCCACTGTAGGAAAAGTCACTTTATCAGATCTGATGTTGGTTGTTTCCTTCTAAATGTGTTTTTCCAAATCATAGTCATTACTGCATCATTACCGAGTAGTCAATATTGCATTTGCCTTCAACAGTTCATACCTTATCTATGTGGATGAATAATTGGCTTACACTGATCATGATGGCGGACCTTCTTTTAGTTATAATAAAAAGATCGAATCAAAGGAAAGAGTGGGATTGTAAATTTATAGAAGAATTTTTTGGCGTATGAGAAATAAATTGAAGTCTTTTTCGAAACTACTGTGATTATGATTTCCTTGAGCTGAGGGTCTATCGGAAACAACCTCTCTACCTTCACAAGATAGGGGTAAGGTCTGCATACATTACCCTCCCCAGACTCTACTTGTGGATTACACCGGGTATGTTGTTGTCGCTGTTGTATGAGAAATAATTTAAGAAAATCAGATTCATAAACTCATGTCCTGAACTTTGGTTGCATTCTTCTACTATAGCAAACTTCACTTGAAATGGATGTGGTGCTGCTTTCTAAGTTTGCATTTGCGTGATAAACAGTCGATCTTTATTAATTATGGATGAATAATTGGCTTAGTGTGATATTTTAGTCATAAAAAGAGGATCAAATGCTAACAAAAATGGAAGATGCGATTGCAAATTTATCAAAGAACTGATGTGGCATATAAGAAATAAATACAAGAATCAGACTCAAGTAATCCATGTCCTGAACTGGTGGTTGCTACCTAGTTATTGGAGTACACATCAGACAACATGTAAAGACTTAACTGTGAATTCAGAGTAAACCTTGAACTGAACTCCAATATGCAGTTACAAAATACTGAATTGTTGTTGTACATGATAATAACTTTTACAAATACCATGAACAGGATATGATTGTTGGTGGAACTGACACAACCTCCAACACGGTTGAGTTTGCCATAGCTGAAATTATGAACAATCCAAAGGTCCTGAGGAAATTACAACAGGAACTGGAGACAGTTGTGGGCAAAGATAACATAGTAGAAGAGTCTCATATTCAGAACTTACCATATCTCTATGCAGTTATGAAAGAAGTCTTGCGCATACATCCAGTGGTCCCACTATTGGTGCCACATTGTCCTAGTGAGACAGTCACTGTGGGAGGATACACCATTCCTAAAGGATCTCGTGTTTTCATAAATGTATGGGCTATACAGAGAGATCCCTCTATATGGGAAAATCCGACTGAGTTCTATCCGGAAAGATTTTTGGACAATAAATTGGATTATAGTGGAAATGATTTCAACTTTATTCCATTTGGTTCTGGAAGAAGAATGTGTGCGGGAATAGCCATGGCAGAGAGGATGTTCATGTATTCACTGGCTTCACTTATTCACTCTTTCGACTGGAAGTTTCCCGAAGGAGAGAGAGTAGACCTTACAGAGAAGTTTGGTATTGTTTTGAAGAAGAAAATTCCTCTGGTGGCTATACCTACTCCAAGATTATCCAGTCCAACACTCTATGAGTAAGATAAAATATGTTGCTCTATCCTGGCAATAATCTTATGAACAACTCAATGAAAAATCAGAAGGTTCCATTGTTAATTCTATCTGAAATGGCTAATGGCTGTGACTCCTTAACTATTGTATACTGTACCAAATTTGAAATAATAATACATGTGTTACTTCATCAAAGCACTTAAAATAACAAAGCATGATACTGTTACTTCTTTAGTTAGTTTTCCTATTAAGGGAGAGATGATTGGCATCTCCCTGATAGATATGCCAGCAGCCTTCTAGCACTGCATGGATATTATAGAAAATAAATCTTTTTCCAATTTTAAATCAAACACATTTTACATTATACAATGTATACATTGATTTTAATGCAATGAACCAAATAGCCAATGACAATTACATAGTTGTGTCTTATGAGCACAGAATTGTGGCCTTCCAATCGTGGGATTTTTACCATTCCTCCGCCCCAATATGCATCACCAGCTTACTGAATTGTCTCAAAGCTTGATGATACAGTTGACACTATTAGAAAGTCATCTTGGCGTGGAATCAGGGGCGTACCCAGGATACTATTAGTGAAATTCGGAGTGGTGCAGTTTCTTATATATCGGGTAAAAAGCTTAGATCTACATTTCGTCTTGGAGCTTCGTAGTTTTATAATATAGTAAATAGATATCTAAAGCATATACATTACTCACTCCGTTCCAATTTATGTGAATCTGTTTGACTGGACACGGAGTTTAAGAAAAAATGAAGACTTTTGGAATTTGTGGTCCGAAACAAGTCAAAAATGGGCCCAGAGTATTTATGTGGTTATAAAAGCTTCTCATTAAGGGTACAATTGTAAGTTTAAGCTAAATTATTACCAAATTTAGAAAGGGATCATTCTTTTTATTGTTATGTTTTTGAAGCAACAGCATGGTTGGGAAGGATGTAGTGTATATTCATATTCATCTAGTTTGTCTGCTGGCTTTCAAAAGGTCCTACTTTAGGGTAAAAAAATGCCTATTTCCATTACAGCCTTGCTTATGATATGTTATGTCACATGTGCTTTAAAAGTCACTTTCTTTTGATTTGATGTTGGTTGTTTCCTTCTTCTAAGGTGTTTTAACCTTTCCTTTTGCCCAGCTCAAATCAGTTATAGTGGTTCAAACTTCAAATCAGTAACAGTCAGTGCTCCATTATTATTGAATAGCCAACATTGCATTTGCCTTCAACCGTTCTTGCCTTATCTATATGGATGGAAAAATTAGCTTCTATATTGATAATTGGCTTCATTTCAGAAGTTAATTTTAGAAGCAGCGCTAAGACTATCTTCCCACTAAACATGGCTTTAGCACCTCTAACCGAGCTTGGTCTTGCAGCTCTCACCCTTTCAATTGTATTCCTAACAATTCTATGGTACAAAAGGACATCAAATATACCACAGAAGACAGAACCTAGGTTGCCACCAGGGCCTCGTGGCCTTCCAATTGTGGGATTCTTACCATTCCTCCGCCCCAATTTGCACCATCAACTTACAGAATTGTCACAGAAGTATGGTCCAATATACAAGTTTTGGCTAGGAAGCAAACTATGCATTGTGTTGAATTCACCATCCTTAGCCAAAGAAGTGGTTCGTGATCAAGACTCTGTTTTTGCCAACCGTGACCCTTCTATTGCAGGATTGCTGGCCACATATGGTGGATTAGATATTGCACTTTCTCCCTATGGCTCCTATTGGCGTGATATGCGCAAACTGTTTGTGAGTGAGATGCTAAGCAACAGGAACCTTGAGGCTTGTTATAGTCTTCGGAAACACGAGGTCAGAAAGGCAATCAGAAACGTGCATACCAAGATTGCCTACCCCATTGACATTGGTGAATTGTCTTTTGTAACTGAAATGAATGTAATCATGAGTATGATCTTTGGCAGTAATTTTGTAGAGGAAAAGGAGAAGCATGCAAAAGATGGAGCTGAGTTCAGGGAATTGGTGATAAAATTTCTTCAAATGTTGGCAAAGCCAAACATATCAGACTTCTTCCCTATGCTTGCCAGGTTTGATTTACAAGGAATACAGAAAGAGATGGAGGCTCTCTTGAAGTCTGTTGAACGCATATTGGACCCTGCCATAAACGAATGCATGAAGATGCTTTCGGACAAAAGAGAGAGTAAAATTCAGGGGAATGCTAAGAAGGATTTTGTGCAGATCCTATTAGAGCTAATGGAGCAGAAAAATATTGGTATATCAGTGGACTTGGTGCAAATAAAGGCCATCTTGCTGGTAAGTTATATGGTCTGTAACTATTTTTTTTATCATTGCTTGTCTCCATAAAATTGGTTGTCCTAAGAATTCCATTATTTAGTTTACGAGAAATCAGTCTAAAGATTTAACAGTGATACAAACTTATTTATCATGTCTATTGAAGCACCCAAGAGTGTGGCCTAGCGGCCATTGATCAATGAAGCGGGTGCAAACCTTGAAAACAAAGGTTCAAATCCCATCAGAGACAAAAAATGTTAGTAGATGATTTCTTTCTATCTGCCTAAGATATGGTTGGTAGAGCTATCCAATACCTATATTGGTGGGAGGTAGCTGGTACCCTATGAAATTAGTCGAGGTGCATGCAAGTTTGCACGAACACCACTATTTATTGAATGCGGAATCAATGTGATAAATAGTGAAGAAAAATGAGAATGTTTTGATTTCATAATCAAGATGCATGAATCGCATAATTAGTTAGAATAGTCTTAAAAAGATGCACATATATATACTGAAACATGAATGCCACATCCCCCCTACGGGTAGAAGCAGGCATTTCAAATACTGGCAACGACTAAATTCCTTTTCCATGAGTTTCATATATGTTTCTGCATTGTAGGACATTGTGATTGGTGGGACTGACACTACAATCACGATGGTTGAATGGGTAATGGCGGAGCTTCTGAATAACCCAGAGGTAATGACAAAGGTGCAAAAGGAGCTGAAAAATGTAGTAGGGATGAATAACATTGTTGAAGAATCCCATTTACCAAAACTACACTATCTTGATGCAGTTGTAAAGGAGACATTTCGTCTACACCCTGCATTACCACTGCTTGTCCCTAAGCGCCCAAGCCAATCTGCAATAGTAGGTGGATACACAATACCTGAGGGAACTAAAGTACTCTTGAATGTTTATGCAATTCATAGGGATCCTTAAATATGGGAGAATCCATTGAAATTCCAGCCTGTTAGGTTCTTGAGTCACTCTACAAATTTTGACTTTGCTGGCAATAATATGAAGTACCTTCCATTTGGATCAGGGCGGAGAGTTTGTGCTGGCCTTCCTTTAGCAGAGAAAATGCTTATGTTTATATTGGCTTCGTTGCTGCATTCCTTTGATTGGAAACTCCCAGAGGGCGAAAATGTTGACCTTTCAGATGGATTTGGACTTGTCGTCAAGAAAAGTAAAAGGCTATTCGCCATTCCTACTCCGAGGTTATCAAATTTAGAACTATATCAATAAAAACAAGAAGCTATTAGGGAAAATGTTTATAGATGTTGAAGAAGGGGTACATGATCTTTCCCACTGGTTGTTGTATTTATAAGATCAACATGTATTATTGTGTATTAAATATTGAAGTTCAACTTATGTACCTTGCATTTTAAATAACATATGTACATTTAATGTAATGATATTATCAAAGGAGGATAATTCCATATTCAACTATTCTGAAATTGGTTATGGCTGCAAGGTTATATTTGTTTTTAGTTGCAATTGCTTCTTTTTAATCTATATCTGTCCTTAGATAATCTGCATGCAATATATTTTAGTACTTGTTTCTTTTGGAGGGCGTGTAGTATTCCCTTTAGTGTGGAAAAATATATTCTACTTGAAATACAAATGCTAAAACAAAAATGCGCGAGACACCAATAGAGAGATTTGAATTGCTGGCTGGAAACTTCGACTACTATACCCCCTGGCACTACATTGACTTTTTCGTAATCATTGCTCTCTTTAATACAAGCAAGTTTTCATTCAAGTCTCTCTTTGCACAATGTAATTTTGAAATTGGCTTTTCTTTGCGGCACTGACAGTCTAATCTAGCGTACAGAAGAGATTTTCAGTGCGGAGAGTAATCAGATAGAAGTAGGTTGTTTACATTACACGCCTTCTCAAGACATCTCAGGAAGGCGCCACATAACAGTTGGTTAGTACTCAACATGAAGATAAACTAAACCTGGTTATTAGGTGAATGCAGCTCTTTTCTGTACAGGGATCATCAAGAACAAACTAACTGCTCATGAAAACCATTTTCCCAACCAAAAAGGTATCATATTTCCTTTTGTAATATAAAATCAAGTCTATAACTTACTACTTTGAATAGAAAAACAAATTGTAGTTATTTATAAGCTTAACTCTAATAGTTTATCCGTCTACTATTAATTGTTGCTGACTGCTGACATTGCCGTGGTAACCACCAAATTTATCTTGGGCTTACTCTAGTAATATTCACCTAACCAGTGAAAATGCCAAAAAAAAAAAACAATAAAAAGTCCAAACTGTTTAAGGAAGATAATGTGAATTTATTCATTACTTGATAATCCGATGGAGTGTATTCTAAAAATAAACAACAACATACCCTGTAATCCTACAAGTGGGGTCTGGGGAGGGTAGTGTATATGCAAACCTTACCCCTACCTCGTGGAGATAGAGAGGCTGTTTCCGAAGACCCTCGGCTCAAGGACAAAATGAATATTCCATAACTAAAGATGCTGACAAATAGATTCAATTTAGTTAGGGTAGAAGAATATGTGCTGGAATTGCAACTCCCCTCTCTTCTCTTTATGCACTTTCCTAGAAGGCTTAGGTGTTCGTGGGTAAGCAATCACTATTATCAGGGGCGCGCTCTACCACTGAGCTAATAGCCCGTCGTGCCAGCCTCCCGTCAACCCATTAGGTTTATCGTTTTTCTAGTTTCTTCTCTAGCCGAGTGTGAAAGATTAACTTTTGACCGGTGACATAATAACTTGCTTCACTTCTAAATTGTTTGAACTTCCTGATGCAGAGAATTTTGACCTGGAAAAAAAAAGCCGTACTTTGTGCTAAAGGAGATACCTTCGGTTGCAGTCCCAGTGCCAAGATTATCTGAGTCAATATATATGGTCAAAAATTGAGTCTTCTGGAAACTTTCTAAGAACCCAAATTCTAGCTGCTGAAAGTGAGATGTAGAACAATAATTCAACCAAGACCTGATATATATAATTGTAATAATAATATACTCAAGAGGACATTTGACCTGATCCATTATAAGTAGAAAGTGCTGAAGCAATTTAACCAATAACCATGGCTTTAGCACAATCAAACCAGCTTGGTCTTGCAGCTCTCACAATTGGAATAGTATTCCTGACAATTTTTTGGTTCAAATGGACAAAAAATATCTCATACAAAGAAGGTCCCAAGTTGCCACCGGGGCCTCGTGGCCTTTCAATTGTGGGATTTTTACCATTCCTCCGCTCCAATTTGCACCATCAACTTACTGAATTGTCACAGAAGTATGGTCCAATTTACAAGTTTTGGCTAGGAAGCAAACTATGCATTGTGTTGAATTCGCCATCCTTAGCCAAAGAAGTGGTTCGTGATCAAGACTCAGTTTTTGCCAACCGTGACCCTCCAATAGCAGGATTGGCAGCCACATATGGTGGAGTAGACATCGGATTTTCTCCCTATGGCTCCTATTGGCGTGATATGCGCAAACTGTTTGTGAGTGAGATGCTAAGCAACAGGAACCTTGAGGCTTCTTATGGTTTACGTACACACGAGGTCAGAAAAACAATCAGAAACGTGCATACCAAGATTGGAAACCCCATTGACATTGGTGAATTGGCTTTTGTAACTCAAATGAATGTAATCATGAGTATGATCTTCGGCAGCAAATTTGTAGAGGAAAAGGAGAAGCATGGAAAAGATGGATCAGCTGAGTTTAAGGAAGTGGTGGTGAAAGTTTTTCAAGTGTTGGGAAAGCCAAACATATCAGACTTCTTCCCTATGCTTGCCAGGTTTGACTTACAAGGAATACAGAAAGAGATGAAGGCTCTTTCCAAGTCGGTTGAAAGTATATTAGACCCTGCCATAAACGAACGCATGAAGATGCTCTCGGACAAAAAAGAGGGTGAAATCCAGGGGAATGGGAAAAAGGATTTTGTGCAGATCTTAATAGAGCTAATGGAGCAGAAAGACATTGGGATATCACTGGATTTGGTGAAAATAAAGGCTATGTTGGTGGTAAGTTATATGGTCCTTATATCTTTTCTAAGTGTCTCTTTAGACTTGGTTATCTTGAAAATTCCATAACAATACTTTATCAGAAAGAAGTCTGAAAACTTAACAGCCTTATACGAACTGCTTAATCGTGTTTACAGTAGTATACAGGATCAATGTGATAAGAAAGTAAAGAAAAATGAGAATACATTTCAGTTCTTACTTAAGATGATTGAGCAGCATAATTAGCTATAATAGTCTTAAAAAGAGGTAGATATACATACCTAAACATGAATGTCGCGTCCCCCTACAGCTAAAATCAAACATTACTAAATTCCTGTGATGACAATGTTCCTTTCCCCCGACTTCATATATGTTTTTGCTAAGTAGGATATTGTGATTGGTGGAACTGACACTGTAATCACAACAGTCGAATGGGTAATGGCGGAGCTTCTTAATAACCCGGAGATAATGGCAAAGGTTCAACAAGAATTGAAACATGTCGTAGGAACGAACAACATTGTTGAAGAATCCCACTTGCCAAAACTACACTATCTTGACGCAGTTTTAAAGGAGACGCTACGTCTGCACCCTGCATTACCATTACTTATCCCTAAGCGCCCGAGCAAATCTGCAATAGTAGGTGGATACACAATACCTGAGGGAACAAAAGTATTCTTGAATGTTTATGCAATTCAGAGGGATCCTCAAGTGTGGGAAAATCCATTGGAATTTCAGCCTGAAAGGTTCTTGAATCACTCTACAAATTTAAACTATTCTGGAAATAATTTCAAGTACCTTCCATTTGGATCAGGGAGGAGAATATGCGCTGGCCTTCCTTTAGCTGAGAAAATGCTTATGTTTGTATTGGCTTCATCGCTGCATTCCTTTGATTGGAAACTCCCAGAGCGCGAAAAAGTTGATCTTTCAGATGGATTTGGACTTGTCATTAAGAAAAGCAAGAGCTTATTCGCCATCCCTACGCCCAGGTTACCACATTTAGAACTCTATCAGTAAAACCAGTAAATTATAAGGAAGATGTAATATAGACTCTGAAAGAAGGGGCTAGACTGATTTTGCCCACTGGTTATTGTATTTATAAGATCAAATACAATAATGTAAAATAAGTGATGTGATACTACAAATGTACACTAGTATTTTGAAATAAAATATGTATAATAGTTAGAATAGTGTTATCAAAGTATGATAACTTCATATTTTATCAGCCATTCTGGAATTCGCCATTGCTATACTGTTGCTTCACTTGTTCAAAGTTGCAATTGCTTTGACTCCACAGTTTCATATGAAATTAGCCTGTATCTATTGCAATTTGACATATTTAGGCCATAGTATTGTTTTATATGAAGATACAAACTGTGTCACAATAGTTTCATATAGCTTAGTTTTACAAAGTTTCATTGTTTGTGTTCAATTCCCTGTCAAACACAACTTTTGCCTAATTTCAACATCATCGGAAATGAAGCTGCAACTAATTAACTAACTCGTTCACTTTTTATTCATGAAATTTTGAGACTAAGGTACCCGAAATCCAAGTCTAGCGGCTTCATTTTTACATATTATGCACATTTGACAAGAGAAAGAACACTATTCATTGTGTAACTGATCATCAAGCAGAAGCAGCAGCTTTGCAATTTGGCAGGTCATTTGGAGAATTAGGTGGAATGCTCAGAATTGGGTTGCTCTCAAAGAAATTCACTGGCTTTATTTCAAAGCTTGATGATACTGTTGGCATAATTGGGAAGTCCTCTTGACATGGAATATGATGGAAACCTAATGTATACCACAACACTATGTCTTTATTCTCAATTGGCCTGTCTCTGCAAAATAGAAAGAAAGAGTGTTAATTACTCAAAAATTTCCAAGCCAACGGCTCTATCTAAAGTCAAGTAAAACTAGTAAAAGTAGGGGTGGTAAATTGATGGGTCGAAAATGGGTAATGAAAAAAAACGGATAAATTATCCGACTCGGCCCATATTTAATACGGATAAAAACGGGTTAACCGGCGGATAATATAGATATTCATACTATCTATGGCTTCTTTAATATGATTAGTTTTGGGAGAATTCCTAATCTCCCAAACTTGAGGAACCCAATTTGAGACTTTAAAAATGTAAAAGTTAAACCCATTATTTATCCATTTTCTAAGTGGACAATATGGTTCTTATCCATATTTGACCCGTTTTTAAAAAGTTCATTATCCAATCCATTTTCTAATGGATAATATGGATGAATAACTGTTTTCTTTTAACTATTTTGTCACCACTAAGTAAAAATATCTTTTAGACTTTGGATTTTGTCACGCTTTAAAATAGTGTTTACTCCGGAACTTTTACACTACCAGTGTATTTTAACCTGTTGTAGCAAGTAACATGGCTTATTTTTCAGGTTACTGTGACGGATACCTGTAATTATCTTTTAGGTGATTGAACTATCAATGCATAAAGGAAATAGTGTGTTTTACCTGTTAGACCAAATAGCAAGAGTGTCATCACCTTGACTTTGGTAAACAAACAAGCCAGCAGCCCATTGCTCAGATTCATTATATGGAGTGACCCAAATTTGGTTATTAGTAAAAGCACCTCTCTTCTGTGGAGGATCATCAAGATCAAGTAAACTAGCAGCAGTACCACCAGGAACAATTTTATAACCAGCAGGATTTCCAACTCTTGACTTCTTGCTAGGATTAATCACATGAAATTCTGAAGGATCATATAACTTGAGCTTAATTTGTGCATCTTTTTCAGTTTTAGCCACATTTCTAACTGCTTTTAAGTAACTTTTTCGTGGCGATTCGCCTGGAGAAGTCATTGCTTTCTGGAGATTTACCTTCACGAAAGAATTGTTCGATCCATCGATATCCATGTCAAGATGGAAAGTTATGTAGTGATCATGGATTACACCAATTATGTTTTCTGATAAGAGGGTACCATAGAGATACTCATTTTGGTTCACTTGATTCATGTTCACATATGGAGAGCCTTTCACCATCAATATTCCACTTAGTCCAACCTATGACAAGTATAATGAGGGAAGAAGAATTAATCTTGAAATTCAACTTGGAATTGATATTGAGATGTGACTAATAACCAAAAAAATACTTATGCAATTTATGATAAGTCACTAGTACTAGTACTATTTACGAGTTAGAACGAAATTAATATCAAAGGAATCTTAATGAGGAAAGAAGAATCTTGATGACTTAGGGTGTGTTTCGTACGACGGAAAATATTTTTCGGAAAATATTTTTTCATTTTACACTGCTTGGTTGCACAAAATAGTTTGGAAAATATTTTCCTAGATATTACATTTTCCTGAAATCGGAGGAAAATGACTTCCTTANTTATATATATATATATATTATTTTATTTTTTTTAAAGTCTGGTTTTTTTATTTTTCAGTTTAGAGGTTCGAAATTTTACGAGTTCCAAAGTTATGAGTTCGGAAGTTTATGTGTTTGGAAGTTTGGGGGTTTAGAAATTATAGAGTTTACGGGTTCGAAAGTTTAGCGATTCAGAAGTTTATGAAATTTGTGGGTTCGGGAGGTTGTTAGTTCGAAAGTTTATGGCTTCATGATTATTGTATCTAAATTATTTATAAATACTCTTGAGAAGTTATTTTCCTTAATTTGCGTACCAAATACCGGAAAATGGGTAAGATTACTACTTGTTTTTCAAGAAAATATTTTGCACAAAAAACATTTTCCGTTATACCAAACACAACCTTAATGATTCAACTTGGAATTATAATGAGATGTGACTAATCACGAAAACCGAAAAAGAAAGTACTTTTTCAATTTGACCCGGACAGAGTTTAAGAAAAAAAAAATTGAAACTTGTGATCTTAAAAGGTTAAAGTGTAAAAACTTTGTGGGCCATGACATTTGTATGGTTATAAAATCTTCTCATTAAGAGTAAACTCGGTAAAATGAAGTGTTTAAAGTTGAATTGTTTTCAATTGTATAAATATGCCATTTTTTGGAACGGACTAATAAGGAAAGTGTGTCATCTAAACTGAAACAAAGAGTGTACTATAATTCATTATTTTTTATTTGTAACTAAATTGATGTGATTGCTACCAATAATACACTACCGGTTGGTTTCCTGCATTAACTATTTGTCGGATTCTAGCTTTACTTTCGTAAAACAAAAGTTCAAAAATTTATTTTCTTACTTAAAAATATAAAAATAACATATACTAACAGAAAATTACTATAGTATCAATATTAGTAAATGTTTATAATATTATTTACAAATAAAGAAAAATAAAATACTTAATGGATAGGTGCAAATCAAGTATTATTTCCTCCTGTCCTTTTTATCTGTCATTTTAGCTAAAAGAATTTGGCCCAAAGTATCTATCACTTCCAGAAATCAAGAAGAGTTTATCTTTCTTTTTTTATTCCGTCCTTGCAACTACAGGAAGGCCTAGAATTATTAATCATTCATTTAAAAAAAAATAGGAATAATTTAGTTAAATACCTTTGATAATCTAGTTTATGTTTGTTACTTGTCAGAGTTATTGGACGGCAAATGAAATGATTCCAATTTTGTTTTTATTGACATGTAGAGTGAGTATAAGATTTTACACAAATGGTCCGCGGGATTTACTCTTTACTTTTTCTATCACGCACATAAATTATACACTAATTACACGTGATTACACACATATTATATGTAAATTATACATATACTTATTATATACTCATCGATTATTTTTAATTTATATGATTGAATGAATGATTATTTAATTTAGATTAATTATTCAAGATTATGTGCTAACCTTAACCCGGATAAGTCCGTCCGTTTGGAACTCCCAATCCACAATGTAATCATAGTTTGCCACTGATGCTGCCATTCTCACCACTAACGTCACCTTTGGCCTCACTTCTCGAATCTGCCCAAAGTAAGAGACGGAAAATAACAATCAGAAAGCGTCAAAGAAAACTTAATTTAAGAAACAAATGTGAAAGAACACTTGTTCAGTGACCAGTGCCGACATAGCGTATAGACAAATTCTAGTTCTAACTGAACCACTAAATTTGGAGCTAGACGATAAGACCAAATGAATGGTACTTGTCATGAAGAAGGACACAAGCTTTGTGGTGGCGGAACAAGAATTTTTATCAAAGACTGTCAAAAAATAAATAATTAATTATATCGAAAAGTAAATGAGAGTCAACGTATAGTAAATATACATAAAATATAAAAAATTATCTAGCAATATAGTATAATTTTTCGGCAAAGGGGTGTCGCTTGATACCCCTTGGTTCAATATGGCTCTGTCACTGCACAAGAGCAAGCTAGTTTGTGTCCCCACACCTTGTCGGAGAAGATAAATTTAAGATTTTAAGTTTATGAGTTCTAAAATATAATTTTTTTTATTTATTGGATTTGAAATAAATTATATATATATA